CTCCCCTGCACATGCACACACACACCCCCTTTTTCTGGCCAATTTCATACCAAATTGGGCAAATACTTTCAGTCAACCCCCCCCCCCATTTTTCTGCAAAAAAAAAAAAAAATCTCTGAAATATTCCTACTTGCATGACCACAAAACTTCAGTCTGACTGTTGATTACAATCACAATGGTCTAAAATTGCATTCAGAAAAATCTTATGCCTTTTGTACTTCTATAGATTACTTTTGCTATTGAACAGAACAGGAGAGAGGAGCCCTGCTACAGAATGCATTGTTTTACCTCTGATTGATGTCCAGCTCTGATGAAAGTGCAGAGGGGATCAAAAGCCCCTGTACCACAGGCCAGCAGGTGTGTCCTGTTGTAACGGTGAAGGACCCGGATGTAATTTGCACATTCATTCTAATTTAAAGAAAAAGAAAGATTAAAAAATGTAATATTCATGAACTTTTAAAAACCACCCCACTTCCTGTGACAACAATAGTCTGTGCAACGAGAAATTTTGTATTTCCCTAAGACCCTCAGTAGACTTTATATTTAAGATATGATTAACCTGTTAATCATGTCTTAAACAGTAACACAGCCACGTGTTAATTAATGGTGCCACAAAATGCAGAATCAGCCACAAAATTATTCCACAAAATATGTGGAATATTTTGGGGTCTGGTTTCCATGGCAACTTAAAATGAACATGTGGCAGGGTCCCCCACAATGAAATGTGAGGAGGGGGCTTGGTTGCAGCTCCCCCAGCCCTGGAAGCATACCAGAGTCTCCAGTTGGCAGCAGACTCCAGTACAATCCCAAGGCTGGAACTGACAATCAGCTGATTGTCAGTCCCAGCCCTGAGTCTGCAAAATTTCACCAGGAACCAGGCTTTCGACTTGCAGTTGTTGGGATCAGGGAACAGATCAAGGCTGCAGACAGAGGCTTATGTGATGTTTCTATGTCCCTCCACCAGAGCACTGTGATTGGAAGGGGACTCAGGGAAAGATCACAGTCACTGGCCAGCTACAGATGTCAGTCTTTCCCTTCCTACTCCCCCCCTCTTTTCTCAGTTTCTGTTCCCCTGAAAGACTGCCTTCCAAATCTCTGAATCTTTTCACAATTGATTTGGAGGCTCCAAACTGATTCAGAGTTTTTCTTTTCTTGTCCTGATTCGATTCAGATTCAGTTATTTGGCCTGCAAAGCAGGTCAAATCTTCTCCGAGTCGAATTATGGACCAAAGCTTCACACACCCCTACTAAGCATCTTTCCCAACTTTAGCAACAAATGAAAGAAGGGTCTTATAGAGAAGGGTCTTTACTACTTAGTTGGGCTTCATTCCCTACAGGTTTCATCCCCTGTGCTCCAAAGAAGCCATAGTTTTTTGGAAGAAATAAATGAGTATTCATATAATTAAAGAATGTATCATAAGGCATACACATGAAGGGGCCATATTAAGTTGAAAAAAGACCATAATTTTATGACATGATCAATATAATTTATTGAACAATTTAAAAAAAAAACAAAAACCCGCATGTAGTAGATAACCAGCAGCAGAAATGTCAGCTCAAATGATAATATTTTAACATAGTTATAAAGGACTGAAAATATGGTCTTATCAAAAGTATCATGGAACCAGGCAGTACAGTTGGGACATCCAATAATATTATATATACACATGGAAAGAGAGAAAAGTATATGTTAATACAGGCATTAACAGACTATCTCCTCAGAATGCAGAACAATTATATACCAAAGTTACCTTGTGCAGCTCTGAATCTCTGGATTTTTTTTCCATCTGAAACTCTTACAGTACTAAGGTGCTACAGTCATTTGTTACTGAATATTTTTCTTATCTCTAACTGATGTTCAGCTCTGATAAAAGCTCAGAAGAAATCAAGATCCCCAATATCACAAGCCAACAGGTGTAGTTTTTTGGCACAAAATGATCAGAGCAACAGAGTTGCATTTTGGTTTGAGTGAGACTGGTGTATATTTAAGGTGGTGCACATGCTTTTGAAATTAAGGTCCCTAATTCAATTGTCCTATTTAGTCTGCTACAAGCTTTCTAAAACAGTGTTTATGACTATATTCTTTAAAGTTTTACTGCTACAAGATGAACTGATAACCTTTTAAGAGTTTGTAGAAGTGGCCTGTTGAGTTACAAAATACGAGGTAACAGAGAAACATGAAACATGTAAACGGTAAGTTAAAATTAAAATCCTTAAATTTAATTTTTAGGTTTTTTCTGTATACCACTTGATGTCAGTTATACATAGTACAACCGACTTTGTACAGAGCAATGTGTGATGAACAACAGAGGAGAAAGTTAGGAGAAAAGAAATGTATTTTTCCTGAGATTTTATGAATGGATTTCTGTTGCGGCAAATAGTGTTAGAAAACAAACAAGCGAACAAACAAACAAAATATTTAAAGAAGCATGAGTTAAAGGAGGCCAAAATAAGTAACAGAAGTAATGCAGCTGCTTAAGTAGTTTTAAAAACAAAAGGAATAAAAATAGAGTATCTTGATACTCTCTGTTTTAATTTAGATTATTTTATTATATCAGTATGATGAAAAATGAACAGAAAGTATAGAGTGATTAAAAATAGTTAGATTTCTCTGCCACTACTAGCATTTTCCATCCTCATGCTCCAGAACATAACCTGAAGTTTAGTTAGGCCCCATCTACATGCTGCACCTAAGATGTTACTAACCAATTAATCATGTCTTAAATTGTCACTCAGCCATATGTTCAATAGATTAATGACATGATAAATGGAAGTATAATCCACAAAGTTATTGCACAAAATATGTGAATACCTTTGTGGCTCATTATTATCATGCCATTAACTGAATGTGTGACCAGGAGCCCCTATGGCTAGGAGCCCTGTCAGCTGATCGTGCCTCTCAGCCAGGAGCCCATGTGCACCTCAGAGCCTGGGAGCTCACAAATGACAGGGCGCCCAGTTGCAGGGGCATCCCAGGCACCCCCATGACTAGGTGAAAACAGCTGATATGGGCTTCCAGCTGCCAGGCACCCCCACCACTGGGAGCTCCTTTCACTGATGGGGGTAGTCCAGGCCTCCCCATGGTTCAGAGACTGCATGTTACCTGTGCCCCAGGCCTCCCAGCTCTGTGGTCTTCTGGGGAGCTCCTTTACTACTTTACTACACAGGAGTTTATTACTCACCAATCCCAGGCTCGCCCTGCATTGGCAATGAGGCGTTATGGGTTCTAATTCATAATCCCACAGTACCATCTCCTGCCATGCATGTGTGGCATGACAGGAAGTGCAATTGTGTGGATTATACATCAGATCTGCTTGTGCCTTTATCTGCATGTCTAGAGTGGCCTTTATTCCATGCTTTCATGGTATTGCCTCCTTCTTAATGGGCCACAAACACCACAAGAAAGTACATTCCCCTCTAATTCCCTAATTTCAGTTTCTAGACTAATTTCAAAAGCACAGATACATGGAAATCATGTAAAAGGAGCACAGAAGCAGTTATCAGATATCTAGGAAACTTCAGAATTATTGGATTCAGCCTCACTCAGACAACAGATGAAAGTGTCTGGGGTTTTTTATTTTTTTCAACAAGATTCACACATTTCCTTGATGTCATCAAGTAGCATGTTGCTTATGTCAGTGCTTGTGCTATGGTCTTTACAGCTTCCTAAGTTTCACTGGCAATATGCATTGTGGCTGTATTTATGGTTTCCTGTTTGCTGTCTTCTCTAAAAAAAAACAAGTCTCTTTCTGTCCCATGTCCTAATTTAGTAGGGTAAGAGTGATGTAGCTGTGAAGGTTCTGAAATTATGTAAGGGGCAAGGATTCCTTACAGTATCTTTTATTTTACCAACTATGTAGTTGGAATAGAGTTAGACAAGCTTTCAAATGCAAGACATTCTTCATCACATCTGATCAGAATGAGTTGGGCACAGCATAACAAGGATCAGAAAGGCCTGCTGCTGATAAGTAGGTAAGATGTAAAGAGTAACATAATAGGCTAAAGGCAGAGCCTACTTTCTACAGCCAAGTAATTTTTAAAAAAAAATTGGCCCCCGTTGGTTTTAGTACTACTTAATAGAACAGGATTTTGAATACTCTGAAGTTGACGGAGGCCTGAATCCAAGGCCAAGTACAGATGCTACATTTCTACCTGGAGAGTCACTGTTCTCCTGGTAAAAACTATAAGCATACAAGTGTTCAATAAATTTCCCAGGGGACACAAGCCCTGGAGGGTCTGGTTCACACCTGGAGGACCTCCCCTGCAAGACAGAGTCTTTCACAAGAATGAATGCCTGTACAATCCCCTAGTCTGGGAAGGGAGTGTAGTAGGAGGATAATGCTCCGTATGCTTCCCCAGACCAGAGAAATTTCCACTGCTAGAAATAAATGCCTGTTCAAGCTAAATTTCTGTTTTGGCTGCATGTCTAATTAGATGCAACTGATTTGTAATTAATGATACTTACAGCATCCCTTCCTTTAATTATGCATTCTTCTGCCTGCAGGGGTGTACTAGGCCAGTGTATCTAGAAGAAAAAAAAAAAGGAGAAGAGATTATTTAATATAATATCATAACAGACAGGTAAATGAGCTTTTCTTCTTTGTTTGTGAAAAAAAATATTCTTTATACAATTTTCACTGATACTTTCTAAGTGGCAGTACCCTGCAATATTTTATATTGCATCAATTGCCAGTTATTAAGTTATTAAGCCAAATTGTCCAATTTTGTGCCCAGTTTTTGACTGTGGAGGTTCATTATTCAAATCTAAAATGAGGTACATTTTTCCTTACTTTGCACCTATTAAACTTGATATCAACCTTCTAAATTGAAAAACAGCCCACATACTGGACCATTTTTGTATTTATTCAAGAACTGTTCCGACTTTATATCCAATGACTTTGGATAGCAATTGATTGATAGCAAATGTAGTTGAAAGCCATTTTAAATTATCTGTTTCCTATCAATATTTAAGACATAATATGCTTTCATTGAAGTAAATGAAGTTTAGCCAATAAGTTCATGAGAGCAATATGGTTAATTATTATAAGAAAGACCAAATGGGACAAACTGTTTTTCAGTTACCTGAGGTACAGAATCTTACGTTTCACTTCAGTTGCATGGTTTGAATGGGTGAAAACTATGTAAAACAATGATCTGAACACACTAGAATGATGACTTCATTTCTCTAAACTTCAATAAGTTAAAACAAAAATGTCTCTATTTTGATTATATCATTTTCAACAAAAAGAAAAGAAAATTTGTGCTTGGACATTAACAGATAATATCAAAGAATATTATAACAAGTGTATGCCAACACGAAGCTAGTCTATCACAGTGTCGTTTTATCTGAAAAATAATTTTAAAATAAAATTCTTTTTCTGTTTAGTTTCATTAATTTAAAAAAAATAATACTAAATATAAACCATCCAAGGTATGGGGAAAATTTAGCAATCCTGGATATCAATCATAATGCACTTCAATGCAAGAGTCCCAAAATATGTGGTATGTAAAACCTTTATAGCTTAAATAAGCTCTTGTACTTTATAGATGCATTCTTGAGACCGCCCTTTTTATTAAAAAAGAGAGGCCTGATCTATGAGATTGAACTCATCATATCTGAGACTAAATTCATATGGATGCACCACATTAGATTTTCTCCCCATTCTACCAGTCAAAATTAATTTTAACATGTTCGCTACGTCTAACAACAAGATGAAGAATACATACAGGGACCAGGTTATCTTACCTTATTCTTCAAATAAACTCATCTACCTCATTGTTTCTAACGTTAACATCCATGCAAAGATTTCTTAGTTGAGAAGCCATTTTGCACGGGTTGACCTATTTGTCATTTATTTGCATATAAAGTGATAGTAAATATGAAAATATGTAGTATTTCTACAACATACATCCACTATTTTTAATTACCTAGATTTAATTATTGATTTTTCTTTAGTAGTGATAATATAGGTTTTGTTTGCATTACATACAGAGCCAGATTCTAATTGGTTGTAAATGGTAGCCTTTAACCTAGCACACGTTATTTTTCTTGATGTTTATAGAGTTACTTATGATGACTACAGCCTTTATTTTGCCAGGATTACAGTCTCTTGGCATGATGGCAATGATTATAGTTGAGAGGTTTCTTCAGTGCATGTGAGCTAGAATAACATTATATATACAACACATTTTACTGGTCTTCATGCCTGATCTAAAGTTTGAACAGAATTACTCAATAACTATCATCATTATGAGTCATCATCTGATACATATTTTTTAATTTAATCTGTAGTGATGCTTTTCATCTAGTACATCATTATTTTCACAGGTCACATGAATCTTGCTGCTACCACTGAGTTGGAAAGGTAGAGGAAGGCTAAATTAAAATATTATTTTCATAGTAATACACACTTTGGATTATAAGGCTACACTGATGACAACCACTCTGAGTAAATCCAGATAGAGGAAATGTTTTAATTAGATCTGGAATCATACTTAATATCTCAAAGCAGCTTCCACATTTATTCAGCAACCCCAAAATGAAAGATGACTTGTCTAATGAAAGCTGGTCTGGGGAATTAGTATGAGCTTTAGATGTAGAGAGTTTAGGACAAGAGGGACTATTAGATCATCTAGTTTGATCTCCTGAATTTGACAGAACATTTGTATTTCACCCAATTATCCTTGTACAGAGCCCAATAAGTTGTGCTGGACTAAAACATAATGTTTGTTTTATTAAAACTTATTTTCCTGAAGAGCACCCAGTACTTCACTGGAAGATACCAAGAGATAGAGAATCCAGTACTTCCTTTATCAGGTTGTTCCAATACTTTATTGTGCTTTATTTCAACTTTTCCTAGAGGGCCTCTCTACAAAGATGAAATGTGCATAGAGGTGTCTCTCAAAAGGAATGAGATATAAAGGGAGGCACTGCTCAAAAATGGGGTGCTGGTCACTCACCCTCCCTCAGAAGTAGAAGGGGCAGAACTACAGGCTTCTTTTCCTAGGAACTCTTGAATCATTACAGGGCTTGTAGGCTTTGGTGAAACCCTAAAATATGTAGAACCAGCTGCAAAAAAAGCAGTACCAAGACAACTAAGACATTTATAAATAGCTCTTAGCTTTTGTTCCTGATGCTGCTCCTGCATTTTGAATCAAAAGGGCATTGGCTAAAATACATAAACAGCACAGGGACTGAGGCAAGGACCCAAACCTTCATGCTTCCCAGGCTTGTGCCATCCTCAGTGAGCCACAGCATAGCAGTCTTTGACTGGTCTCCTATTCCTGTGACTCTTGGCTTCTTAGTAGCCCAGCAAGAACCAAAGTGGTAGACAGTGTTCTCAGCCCTTCCTAACCCACGGTCTGGTAGTTTGGTCATGTTGCTGGAAGAGGGAGATACAACTTCATAATTCCTCTGGCTGAGGAGGGTATAGAACAGTGGTCTTCAACCTTTTTAAGTAGGAGATAACCTTTGAGATTTAAATGCAAACTAAGATCTACCATGCACTGCTGCCACCCCCCACTTCCCACCCCCTAGCAGGTAAGCCTGTGGGGTGGGAAGTGTGGGGGGGTGGAGATCAAGGCAGAGAGAGAAAAAAATATTTGGGGGTGCACCTCTGCAGCAGGTAAGTCCCACCCTGCTGGGGCCCCACTCAACTTACCCCTGCTCTTACCTCTATGGCACTGTCCTCCATTGTGGGGGCTTCGATCTAGCCCCACTCCTTAACTCCCCCACGGACTGACCTGTTGGGCTGGGGTGCATGCACATGGACACTCAGCCCCCCACTCCAGACTTGCATTGATTCTAAGAAGCTCTGAGATCTACCAGTGGTTCAGATCCATTGGTTGGTGACCACTGGTCTAGAACTTGGGTTCCCAACTTTTTGGATAAGCACACTAGTCATTAGGCTATTGGGGCAAAAGATGCCTCAGCTGCCTCTTCCTTGGTCAGAATGCTCCTAATCATGACTTTTCTATGTCTAAAAATTTGCTATTTGCACAGAATTTAGACAGTCCTGGGTGGATTAGTACTGCAACAGAATATAAGTGGAGGTAGATGACCACTTTGGAACATGCTTGGAAGGTCAGAATGGAGACATGTAATGAACCTAGGTATTTTAACAGCTTGATGACTGTTGCACAGAATGTATTAGGATTGCCTATAGTGATTTAGATGCCTAAAACTTAAGTGCCTCTGAGGTGGATTAGGTTGTGGTTGCATATGAATTGGCCACGGTCGCACAAAAAGTCTGTGGCATAGCTCGGGTTGAACCAAGACCTCCTGAAGTCCCAATCCTGTACCTGAATCATAAGACAAGCCTTTCTTCCTAAGACCTTGGGCTGTTTTTAACTGCATCTGTTATAATGGTACAAAAGGTGCACAAGATAACAAATGCATGCATTTTTGATGGTTAGAAATCAAAATACATAAATAATAATATATATAGGAAAACTGTAAGCCACAGGGCAGAATGCTTGATATTTGAGTTGTTGAGAAAACTCAACTTTGTGGAACAAAAACAGTCTCTAAATGTAGTTTTTATAGAATGTGTTCCTCAAATTTACCACTGATTAAGTTATTTTACATATGTTGGATTACTTTGGCAGTCAACAAGACTCATAAAACAAAATGTGCTTTACATCCATCCAGTATTTTACTGCTTTTCTCTGAGGGATTCCTAATATGTGCATCAGAGTTGAATATTTTAAAGAATTATTAGTTTGTTTTATGATGTATTTCTGATGTGGAACAGTTTTTGTTTTGTTTTTTAAAATGTCTGATGTTAATCCCCACATCTCAATTTCATGGCCAAACTTAATAAAAATCCTGTTCGTATTCCACACTGTGAAGACTTGGACAACACTGAGGCACCACTCAGAAATGGTTGTTCAAGGCACCAAATATTTAGAGATATTTATGAAACCTGGCCCATAATTACCAACTTCATAAAAAAAATCTCTGCTGCTTCTGGTGACTTGTCCTGGTTACCAGATGCAGGCACAGAATACACCTCCTCTTCCCCACCCTCAGTAAGTCTCAGGTTGGGAGAGATCATTCTTTTCTTGTGGATTTATAATTAAGTTCTTCTATTGTTAAATAAAAGATTTCAACCTGGAAGTTGAAGTAAAAGCTAAATAGATCATTAATATATCCTTAGTTAAAGTTTGCTGAATCCTTGGGTAGGAATAAGTGAACCAGGTCACTCAGATTTCACACTAGATTTCTTATATGGCAAGATCATACTGATACTTCTACAACTTGCTGATATGGGAAGTTGAGTGACTCACTGTGGTGTACTTCTCTCAGTTTTGTCCTATATACCTCTGAGTGAAAAATCCATGACCTACTCTAGGGTATTTAAGAGGAGAAGTGAACGAACCCATGACATTTGCATTCAGAGGAGCTCAGCTCTGGTGAGGTCATGTTTCTAAACATATGCAGTCAGATTCTATTAACTGCAGTTTCTCATCTTGTGCACCTAATTAAAAGAAGAAAAAGACCTGCTACTAATTTGTTGCATTCTGCAGGCAGGTGCCAAGGCAGGGGGGAGTGTCAGCATAAATATCGTTCTTCTATTGGCAGCAGAATGAGAGCAGTAAACTTGCAAAGTATGTCCAGATGGGACAAAGGCAGTCAAACAGAAATATAATGTGTTCTAGGCTATCATTTATTCTTTTACCAATACAGTGTTACCTGAAAAATGGGTTTATTTTATGGAACCAGCTACTTCCTTACCCTTTTTTTTATCCCTCTCTTTTTACAGGAGCAACTCCTATCAAATGGAATATGAGTTTACTCATTTCTAATAGCAGATAAATAATGAAGAGTTTATAAGGCTAAGCTGCCATGAGGTGAAAAAAACAAGGGCACAGACTTACAGTGCGTCAGCTACTCCTTTTTATCTTTTTCACTGACAGTTAGACCATAGGCACTGAGTTTGATTTTTGCTGGAAAGAGGGGGCCTAAGATGATGGACATATGGGAAGTTTTATGCATTTCAGGTGACAGTCCTCTTCCCAAGGGGGCCAGGGCCCTCAGGCCCCCACATACTTGGCACCTCTGCAATACACTGTAAGTCCCTGCCCTTATTTATTTTGAGGTCACTTATTTGTGTGCCCAGGCCCTGAGGCTGTATGTGTTACTGTATTCTTAGGAGTCCCAACATTTAATTTAATTTATAAACACATTCTTACATCACCTCCATGAGCATGTGAATCAGTTTCTCTTCCCCTGAGGGATGGCACCTTGTAGAAATCAGTTACAGATATTTCTCTAATGAGGTTTCACATATTTATTTTCAAATGATATGATTCCAGTAAAAGGACTGCAGAGCAGGTGAATGCAACACGGACTGTAGTCCAACAAGCCTCCTCACACTGTCCTGTCAACTTCCTTTCAATTTAGGCCGGGGGGTCAGCAAGAAGTACAGTCTTCATGCTTGACCATACTCAGGTCTTTCTGGTTAGACAGACAGTATTTCAATCACCTGGGCTTTTGTTGCCATGTGCAACTTTTTCCAGTAAGAACGGGATATAAATGATCAAATCTCTGTTTATCCAGACCACAACTTTCAAATGGTAATTTTAATCACTATTTATCTGGGTTGGTTTTTAAACAGTGGGCATTTTTACAAGTGCAAGCACCGCAGTGTTAGCATTTTGAAAAGCACCTGGCGCTGCGACTCTTGCAGTTGTATAAGTGGCAAAATGAGTGTCAGCACTGAGAAAATGGGAGTGGCACGCTTTTGAACTAAAACACTTTGCAGGTGCCATTTTCTGCATGCTGATGCACATTTCACCACTTATACAACTCCATGTGGCACAGCACAGCGTGCATCAACTTGAGTGCAGAGCAGACTCGATTAATCACATCTGCTCTGAAGTGGCGGATCTCTGGCACATCGTGGGAGAAAAAGGTATGGGTGTATAAATGCCCAGTGATTTGAAATCTAGTCAAACTAATGCAACACGTACACACATACTTGGGGTTGTGTGTGGTAAAGTGTGTTCTGGTTTTATGGATGTATATTTTGCATCCTCTAGGACTGGAGAGACTCACCTCCTATCCCCTCATTGTGTCCAGGCCATTGTCTTAAGATTCCCTCCAAGGGACCTGTGGAACCAGTTTGGTAACTGGCCACTTCACCAGGAGTGCTGGCCAACTCTGAAATTAGCAGTACTCAAATGATGCCTGCTTCTGGCTGGGACCAGGTGATGAGGGCAGAAAAGTTATTTAAGGCTCAGGCCACCTGGGCTGGTGCTCTTTTTTCTTTTCCTGGGGCTGCTGAAATCTGACAGCTGAAATGGGAGCCAGAAAGCCGGATTCCCATGGGGAGGAGGAGATGGTTTGCCTCCCTCTTCACTGGAGATGCAAACTGAAGCGAAGAGAAAGGAAAGCCTCAGGTACAGGGGGAAAGAGTCTGTCTCAGGGCTTGAGAACTCTGTTCTCTCCCTTTTGCTTGCCTGGGTTTTGAGTGGGATGATGTTGTAGGTAAGTGGGGTGGGCATCACTCCCTACAGAAAACTAGCCAAGGTTGGAGCCTGGCCATTTTGCTGGCACACTCTGGGCCAGGGCTGAGAGCCTGGCATTCTCTAGTTGCTGTTGCTGTTGCAGTTTCTTTTGGGTTCAGCATAGCTGTGTCACTGAAACTCAGCTACGTGCCTTGTTGGCAGTTTTGGCCATGCGAGCCTTGACTTGGATGATGCCATGAGTGAGTGGCAGTATCGTAGCCAATGAGGCACGTTTATTGCTAGTTGAAAACTTTTTCCTAGTGCAGACTGACCAGGAAACAGGGACCTGGCAGTCACTGATCCCTATGTTGGGGGTTGTTGTGTCTCAGCATGGTGGTATAGCTGAGACTTCATGTCCAGGCTGCAGCCATAAGCCTGATCCCTTTTTGCTGTTTCACAGCTGTTGCATTTCAGCCCACCTGTGTGGGACTGAACCCCAGTCATACGTTCAGCTGGAAGATTTGGGCCAGGGGGAAGCTTGGGCACTTCTTGTTTTTTGTCCAGGCCCAAGTGTGGACTTCAGCAAGGTCTTTGACACTGTCTCCAACCCCATTCTCATTAAAAAACTAGGTGACTGTGGCATTGATGCCTACACAGTCAGATGGATTACAAATTGGCTGAAGGGTTGTACTCAGAGGGTAGTGGTGGACGGGTCTTTTCGACCTGGAGAGAAATGGGCAGTGGGGTCCTCCAGGGCTCGGTCCTTGGGCCCACACTGTTCAATTTCTTTATTAGTGACTTGGACAATGAGGTGAAAAGCAACCTGTTTAAATTTGCTGATGATACCAAGATTTGGGGTGAGGCGGGCATGCTAGTAGGGAAGGATAGATTACAGCAGGACCTGGATAGGTTTCAGGGGTGGGCTAACAAAAACAGGATGAGCTTCAATACTGACAAGTGCAGGGTGCTGCACTTGGGCAGTAGGAACCAGCAGCACACTTATAAGCTGGGAAACTCCCTTCTTGAGAGCAGTGGCAGAAAGAGATCTTGGAGTCATTATTGACTCCAAGATGAACATGAGCTGACAATGCGAGGTCACGGTCAATAGACATTCAAAAAGCCCATGGCAGAATTGATCTAAGTTACTCAGTTTTATGTCAGTGGCATAGTTTAGACTGATCGACTCATATCTTTCCATCAGAATGATGCTGGGTTTTACTTGGAGTAACAGGAGCTAAAATCCCCTTCCTCAAAAGTTTCAAAAGAGAAGATTATTTTTAACCTGACAGTGTCCTCACAAATGTGAAAAACTTTAGTATCTTTTTTCCAGTCACCAGTCCTTCCAGGTCCCAGAAAAATATGCCATACACAACACCATGCCATGCAACTTATAATATTTTATGTTACTGCACCTCTCTGTAGTTCTCGCTGACTCGGTCTAAGCTGAGGGAATACACAAGGTCTCTTCCTCCCACAAACAGTCGCTCTTGATATTCATCCAGTAGTGTTACATGAAGACCAAGATATCCAAATGGGCTATGAAAGATTGATGTCCTGTTTAAATCCCAGAGCTCTGAAATACAACCAAAGTGTGCATGATAAATACCAAACAGCTTAGTTTCATGACTTCATTTTCATGTCTTCCTAGGGAATTGAGCAAAACAGTTTTGGTACATTAATATCATCTTAATCTTATAAGCTCTGAGTATGAAAGAGACACAGAACACCTGGGAATAATTTCCAAAACCGTTGTGCTCTCCAGAAGATCGGCATGTGGATCTTTACATTGTATTTTGTGCTCAATATATCATGAAACAAAACAAAAAAGTTATCTCGGAAAAAGGAAATGACTCTTTAGTACATTAAGTATGAATGGAAAAAAGGGAATGAAGTGATGTTCTCCTTGTCTTCCATTCACTCCCACCAAACTGTAGGTCTGTTAACTGGATGATTGTACATGAGTATATGTAGTACTTTCTTTCACCTGTATTTTTTCAGATTTAGGCCCAACACTGCTCCCTTTGAATTGAGAAGAAATGTTGACATTGAAATCCATGAGAGCAGTACAGACCCTGGATGGCACACGTGAATATTATCAGAAGTGGCTAGTGATTCCAGATATCTGTCATAAAATGAGCTGACCTTTTCACTCAGGCTCAGCTCATTTCCTAAAGTGAAGGGAGTAAGTCCCAGAGTCATGGGGCTGAAACCTGATGACTCAAAATGCAACCCACTAGGACAGTGGGTATGGGCGACTGGTGCCACCTTAGGGAGGGGGGGCATGTGCTCCCCCAGCAACCAGTCAGCGACCGGGGGATGAGGGAAAGGGTCCCCTGCAGCCGATCATGAGACAACCAATCACTGTATCTGGGGGAACGTTTGTTGACCAGAGTGCCCCAAGGGATGACGAGGTTGAATGGTCATAAACTACTGCAAGACCATTTCAGGGTGGACATAAGCAAGAATTTGTTTACTGTCCGAGCCCCCAAGGTTTGGAACAGTCTGCCATAGGAGGTGGTTCAAGCACCTACATTGAACACCTTCAAGAGCAAATTGGATGCTTATCTTGCTGGGATCCTATGACCCCAGCTGACTTCCTGCCCTTTGGTTGGGGGGCTGGACTTGACGATCTTCTGAGGTCCCTTCCGGCCCTAATGTCTATGAAATCTATGAAACTGTTTTAGTATTTACATGTTCTTAAACTCACTATAACACTTCACTTAATAACCAAAGCCTTAAAGCAATTATAAGATGTTAGATTACATTTTATAAAAGAATTATAGTATTTGAAGGAAGAAATCCTGCCAGCTTTCTGTTTTATATAGCCAGTTCAGTTCTAAGTCTGTCACCTGCTTTCAGTCCTACATTGGCAAATATTCAGGCCAATCTCATTTACCATTTATTTTTTCTTGTAACAAACCCACTTCTAAAATGATTCATATTTTACTCCTTTCTGTGCCCTTTTTTTTTGATAAGATGCTGTGGGCTATTAGTAAACCCACACCATGTTATATTCTCTATGAGAAAGTCCCTGCAGTTTTCATGAGGATTTCCCAACTACTATTCTTTCAACTGTTCTTGAATGGTTGAAAAAGGTAAAAACATACTAAAAGTACTACTAAAAATACATTATCAATACAACCCTCCTTACACAAATAAGTAACTCAAAAAGCCAAACTATCAGTAAAGATCATCTACACAGATTTCCATTGTTAAGGCTGAATGTGCTTTTTTGGTCCCAAATACTACTTTGTCAAGTGAAGGCAGGGTGAGGGTGAGGAAAGGGAGGTTGTGACAGAGCTGTCTGTCACTGTGTCTTACATAACATTGCATCACTACAGACACAAAAGTCTATTGTTCATCTCTCTTGCCCCCTCATCAAAATCTTTGGTTTCCCTTTTAAACCTTGTAGAAACACAGGTTCACCTCCCACATTACCTAATTCTGCAGAACATACTTCTGCTGGAGATATGATTTCCAGATGTGATGCACTGACAAATGAGTCTGGGTCTCTGAACATGTCAAGTGTGTATGGTGGCCTGCTAGGACTGCTTTACAGCAAGAGGTAATGGTTAATGTTGCCATCTGTCCTGAACAATAAAGTAATAGATTATATACTGTAATGTACAGAATCCCTGTAATATGAGCAGATGATTTGAATGACATTTTATGTCTTCAACTGTCAGCTTAGTCATGGCCTATAAACATTACAGCTGGGCAGATTTTACAAGAATTTGGCAAATCACCATGGAACATTAATGAATTTAGATTTTTACTACTTGCTGTACAAGTGAATTCCCAAATCCATTGACTCCTTCCTCATGTCAAGAAGACAAAGATGGAAACAGGAAGGGAGAGAAACCAAGAATGAGAGATTAGGAAAGGCTTTTAGGACAAATGATGAATCTAAAAGTCCTTATGCAAATGACCCATTACATGATCTTCAGTGCTTAGGCCAGCTGCCTTGTAGACAAGGGAGTATTAAAAATTAAATCTAGTCAGCTTCAAACCTATTAGAGTCAGCTGTCTTTGCTGGACATTTAATTCTTGCAAGCTGGATGCGGATTGTAATATCAGCCAGCATCCTTCATTTTCAACTCACTGATATTTAAGAGGAGATAATTATTCACAGGTATCACAATGTGTCATCCATTACCCAGATAAAAAATATGATCTTACAAATGCCTGTATCAATCTGACAAGGTTAGGACCTTTAACTGTCAATATTCCATATACAATTGGTAAAATTGGTAACAGAAGGCAGACGTTTTTCTTCCTGGAGAAAGAAAACAGAAATTTGTGCTACTGAATATGAACTAATAAATTAACGATATCATTTTTCCTTCCTAATTTACCCCCCGTTTTACCCCCCCCCCCCTCACCGAAATGATGGCAGAGGTCTATAGAGGCACCCAAGCAATATTTATACTAAGCTCATCTACCCTAAGTAGTCAATGGAGCTCAGCACAGGAAAACTTAGCCCCTGCTAAACCCTATGCTGCCACACGTAGATGGCCACCAATCCTCAAGGGTGCCTGTACTGCACTGCAGCCACTATGTAGTCAGATCTGCTGCTTTTAAATGAAGGGTACAGATGAATACTTGAAGCAGAATCTCAAAATAATTTATTGGATAGCTACATTATTGGCTAATTTTCATAGCAGAACCCCTAAGTTTTCATTTAAATCAATCCTGTACTGAGAAAAAAGGACTGAATCACAAAAAAAAACCCCAAACCCAAAATATCACATCTGGCATATAAAGTCATGGACAATGGTAATGCTGAATATTACTGTTACAGTCCTCCATGCACAAAAACAAATAGAGTCAGTCAAAGTACTTACTTTTTCAGTTAATATAAATAATGATTTCCCCCCCCCCTTTTATCTCTCAGCTTGACTGAGAGGGGGAAGAACAACAACAGAGAAAAGACCAGAGTTGGAGTGTCAGATTCCCAGAAGCTCCTCTGCTCTCCTCTCACCTTTAACTCCCATCCCAGGACTCAATCTCTGCTTTCAAAGTGGCCGATAGAACTGACTAGCAAGCTTCATGTGGGGAATGTATTAGTCCCTTTGAAGAAAAATGGGTCAGCAAGATCCATGAATGATTTGGTTCATGGGTGAATCAATATTCTTGACACTTCTTTTGAATTTTTTATATTCAATGTGAAACCTGAAGTAGGATTTGAAACCTGAAATGCAGATCCCATTTCTCATTTTGTCTACTTCTGTAACTTACAGCTGACTCCTCATTTTGGAACTGAACTGAAGCCCAATCATTGTGTTGTCAAAACATTTAAGGAAAGGCCCATATACCAATGTGGGGGGGGGGGGGGGGGGGAAGAATCAGATGCAGGAATATTATGGATTGGGGAAATAGCAAAGGAGGGCTTGTCATTAACAATAAAAGAAAGAGGGACCCTCTAACAATCTAGTACTTAGGTTATACTTAAGTTATTTCTTGTTCCAGAACTTGCTTTTAATGAATTGGCATTCACAGCTAGTGATGTTGGTTCTTTGTTGTCAGAGTTTTAAGATCAAGGTCCCTACAGTGATTCTACACTTATTTCCAATTAGCTGGATATTTCCTGCAGAGTGATGGATTGTTAGCTCTTTATATCTTACTTGGTTTTGGACTCATTTCAATGCTTGATAGTAAATGCTGGCAAGTGATCAAACCAAGTCTGCATGACCACATCACCTACAGTAATCACCAAGGGCTCCCTTCTCTGAAGCTTTTGTTAGGCTGTACAATATGCTTCAGGCCACACAAAATGTACATCAGCATCCCCAATGCATCCTTCATCAACATCTGGCTGAGAAAGAAAATACTGCAGGCAAATATGGGGCAGATTTTTTTCTTGAATTTCTTGTATAAATCCACGTAAAGCAATGACTTACACCAACAGAAATTCTGGTTCCTAGCACATTGTGATCCTACCACAAGTAGTAGCTTTGGTTCATATGACCAATCTTTAACTTCAGGCAGAGTACTGACATAAGAAAAGCACTTTGAGCTGCAAAGATGAAGAGGTACACAAGATTTTGATATTTATTAGTTATTTGGTACATATTTTTTATCATTAGTATTAGGACTTTTCACTGGACAAAGGGGTTCAGAATAGCAAGTGTCATGCCACCTGTTCATCTACAGTTATTTCTATAAGAATTGAAGGGCAAACGTAAAAATATTAGCATTAAATAGCTCTAGACTGGAGGTGACTCAACACAGCCTATATAGTCATTATCTAACTGCTTCAAAGGCAGTTATTTTTGTTAATTAAAAAAAAATCACAGACTAATATTTCTATTGGATAAATCTACCAAAAGTCATTAATTTAAAATATCTTAAATTATATTTAATATCTTAATAGTTGAACAGTAGGAAGAGTAGATTTATAAATCTCTCTAAGTTTTGAAGGTACATATGGTTCAAATAAACCCAGCACTCTTTTGATCAAACACAGACAGGCTGGTCTCTTGAGGTCTTGATTTATTAAGGTGTACCTCTCACTACATGCTTATTACTGATCTAAGAAGGGTTCAATTCTTTTTTGGAGCAATGTTGTGTTTT